GTGGGTTATGGCCTTATGGATAGTCGCTCTCGCTCGCTTCTCGGGATTGGATTTGGAAGGGGGAGGCCGGTTGAAATTTTTTGAATCTAAAAGGTAATGGATTACACTGTTGTATGCTAAGTGGGAAAAAAATCACAGGGGCCAGGGCCCCTATAGGCCCCTTAGGCCCTCCGCCCCTGATAATAAGTCAATTCTTTCTTATGTCTTGTCAATTATTGTACGTATATTCACAATATCTACTTTATGATATTGTAATGTCCTTAGTAATCTATATCATTACAAGAAATAGGGGGTTTAGCAACGACTTATGTCATCGCTAAAAGTCAATTTATCATTACAGACGATTTATAGAGACGATATGTCGTCGCTATAGCTTCTTACTAAAGTCATGTCAATGAAACTCACTTTTCTTGTGGTGTATATGGTTACCCAAAAACCCAAAAAACTCGATGCGCATTCATAGCACCCGCAACAATTAATGCAAATGAGATTCAACGAGATTGTCCTATCGTTACAAAGACAATTTGCAACACGATGATGCACAACCAAACTATGAATTTTATGTTGGCAACTTATTGGCAGTGTAATACATATTCATGTACACACACACATATATATATATATATATATATATAAATTATTAATTAATATATATAGATACAATTTACACTTAAGTTTTACTAACATTATTAGTTTAAATAGTTGAGGCATCACTGATAGTTGTTAATCATTCGTCCTAAACATCCCTTGATCTGTATATTGGATTCGAAGATGTCACATACAAAGACAACTAAAACTTACGACACCAAAGATTATATGGACATGTAAGTAATGATTATCGGTACACAGTTGATGTTTCTTTATGAAGTTAATCAATTATTAACACAAATATATTGTGATGTTCCTTTTAGCAAATACAATAATGTTATAAGGTCTTGTCAGACAATATTGCAGCTCAAATTACAAGAAAACTAATTAAGATATAATTAACATATCACACCAATGTATTTCATACTTTAAAGCGTCTAATTATTACTTTTAAGCATCTAACACAATATCTGATTCCTTTGTTGTTTTCTTTTCACTAAATTCATACCAACTTTGTACTAATTACTTATATAATACTTTTAACACCAACACCTGACTTGAAACAAAGATTTTACAATGAGTTGTTACTCAATATCCCATACTACACTGATCGATTTGCTTCAATACATCGATGTAAAGCGTTTCATCACAAAATGGACCATTGTCGACATCTATCAATGTTGGTTGTGGCAATCAGTCAATTACGACTCTTTGTCGTGGGAGTACCAACCATCACGTAAATTGAAGATTTTAAAACAGGTCATCGACGTACGGTTCAGGAAATTGAAATCGGCAGTTGATTGATAGTTTTACAACAATATAGTAGTTTGTTTATCAACCGTCATAATTGTTAACATTTCCATTTTTCATTTATTTTTTAAAAGTATCATCGATAAACTCTTGAAAAATTCATAAATTACTGGTAGTAAAATTTTGCATTTAAGAGTCGTCTGTAAATTTCCATCAATAATCGGAACGCGATTTATCGAAAAACATGTTTTTTGCATTTTTATTTCTTAAATTTTTTACGGTTACCGATAAATTGGCCATCGCAAAATGATCGATAATTGTTGTAGTAAGTCGTCGATGAATTGTCGATATACCATGGTTTTCTAATTAATTTCACAAGTATGAAAATTTTTATCAACGATTATGTCCGTCAATTGAAATTTAATATCCGTTAGTAAAGTAAGATGTGTTTTCTTGCCGACCAATTTGCACAGGTTTTAAGTACACGCTCTTCCAAATTATAAAATATTTTAATACACTAATTGTACAATTTTCAAGTACATGCTAGTTTGAATAGATGGATCAATACATATACTCAAAACAAATAACTTTGAAGCCGTTTACCAAACACTTATCCAGTAAGCGTTTACAAGTAAAATTTTACACTATCACTTACTTACCGGATAAGATTTTAATCAACAAAAATGGCATCTTATGTAACAATTTACCCGGTAAGCGTTAACCATAGTAAGAATCATCGACCTCACTTACTGAATAAGACTCTCGATCTTTGTCTTGTTCTTATCGAATAATATAAATATAAAATTGTCGCATAGCTTATAAATATGTCACAATATACTTTTGTTGATGACACTCTAAGATTTGGTGATGAGTGGGAGCTCCACTCAAAGACCTTTTCATTACATGATTAGATTCTTCGGATTGTACAAACTCCACTCAATTGAGTACAATTTTTCCTTTTTGTGAATTTTCTTATTACATTTCTGTCTCTATTGATTTGTAATTTATTGTTCTTTTTATTATTATGATTTTTAAAGCAAGTAGTCGTTTTGGGATTAGTCGGCTTCTTTAGCAAGTTGGATATTCAGGTTAATAAAAAAATTTATTTAAATTCTCTATTTTTCTTAGGTATTTTAATCTTTTTGATTTTTTTGCCCTTTTTGATTTATTAAATTTCTTTTTTGGTATTTTAATCTTTTGATTTAATAAAACAATATATATTTTTGATAAAAAGAATAATACATAAAAAAAATATTATTTTGTCATCATTTATGATAAAATAATTAAATATTTTTCATAAATTTTTTTGTATTTTTTGTTAATATATATATATATATATATATATAGAGAGAGAGAGAGAGAGAGAGAGTGTTTCTTATTAGTTTGATTTCTGTCACTAA